GGAAATAAGGTTCTGAAAGTCTTTTTTTTTAAATTGCTCTGAAGGCACGAATCATGTTTACTTTGGTTTAGTGTGTTTTCAGTTTACACATAAGTCTAATTTCACACAAGTATTCCCCGTACGCGCTTGTGTGCCGCAAGACCATTTGAGCGATAGCAGCATCCACATACGTTTCGGACGAAGTCGGCACGGTCGGTGAAGGCAGTGCCTTGAGCGCTACGTCTTCTCGTATAGTCTTCTCGCCTATTCTGGTACGTGAGTTCCTAACCACAGTTCGCCGTTGTTTTCGGTCCAAACTTTGCTCCCTAAGTATAAATGCCAACTGCACATTTGCTCAGGTTTCGTTTGTGGACATCTTTGAATCTGTACTTAATGTTGAAAGCATCGATAACAGTGATCAGTATCTCTAGGTAACCATACACTTCAAGCACTATCCACAGAGCCTCTGAGCCCACTGCGTAAAATGTGCACCGCACATATATCCAACGTGTTAAGTTTAAGTGGGCTGAACAAATACGTATGCTTGGATCATGAAGAGGTATGCAAATACGTAATATGACTCGAGTGGTATCCGACTATACTCTCCCATATACATGTGTTCATGAAATAAAAAAATGAAAGATGAAATTCAGGAAGTTAATCATCATTTAATTTCTTTTATATCGTTAAAATATGCAAACTACGAAGCCCCTGAGGGGAAAGGCACAATGAGATTTTTTGTTATCATTTCATCCCAAGTAACTCCAATCTAAGTAGTGAAAACTTCAACCGGGAAACGTTTTCTGTCCCACGAATGTACGACAATGGCACCAAGTACACAAAAATATTTCGACAGAACGAAATCAATATATCAAAGGAACAAAATCAACATTTCAAGGGAACGAAATAGCATATTTCGAGGGAATGAAATTATCTCTAGAGAACGAAATAATATTTTGAGAGAACGAAAACAAAAATTCTCATTGTGCCTGTCCCCTTAGGGGCTCCGTAGCAAACTATGACGCAAAGTATGTTTAAAAAGTGCGACACAAACTGTCTACTTGCTCATTCGATAAACTTTGCGACGCCACGGATATTTTTGCAAATATCTGAAAAGATGTTTGCGATAACATAATATTGGAATTATATTTTTTTGCAAATATTTGTGATGTTTGACGTCTCTTCAGAGCTACCGTCGGTTTCAATTCGACGGTCCAGCTCGCGCGTGGCCACATGCACAGTGCTGTTACATTATGGGTGCAGTCCACTAACTCAGGTAGCCTAAGAATTTCTGGCCAGCTCAATCGCATTAAAAGTGCTCCACAGTATCTTTTAAAAAAGGAGATTGTTTGGCCCCCAAAATGGTGAGACTGTGTGAATGTTTGCCAGGATCAACTCCCTGGGTCTTTGGGCTTCCGGAAAAATCACTTTTCGGGGGTGATTTTGTGTTATGGGAATAATTGATGATGTAATTTGTTAACCAACCAAACTTGAAAACAGACTGACAGACTAGGGACCAGACAATATTTTAATTTGTGTTTCAGAAATCTCAGGGATGTCGGTATGCAAGTTATTGGGCGCTAAACAATGCTGCTTTTATACTGTTTCAATGGAGCTTGAAAAGTGGACTGCGCCCTTATAATCTGCTTCACCAGCGCCCTCAATCGTGTATCGAGAGGAAATCGCTCAAGCAGGGTACAGTCCACTAATTCAGGCCTCAGTGAAAAAAGTGAAAATCATCATTGTCCAGAGTTCAATAACATGCAAGCCAACATCCCTGGGGTGTCTCAAACAAAAATTTAATTATTTGGTCATTAATATTTCAGTTTCTTTTCAGTGGGGGGGGGTTAACCAATTAAAGTTTGAATTATTCACCCAAAACAGAATAAACCCTCCAAAAGTCAAAGTTCCCAAGTCAGCACGCATCCATTTTTCAAATGGCATCCCTGCACTTTCTCGGGTCTTTGGGACCATTTTTACGGTATTTTTTAATCCCTTCTGCCCTCAGATGGCAGCACCAGGAACCAGGGACTTGATCCTGGCAAATATTTACACAATCTCACCATTTTGGGGGCCAAACAATCCCTGTTTTTTCGAAAGATACTGTGGGGCACTTTTAATGCTAATGAGCTTAGCGGAAATTATTGCTTGAATTAGTGGACTGCACTCTTTATGCCAGTTTTAGAGAAGAGAGATACATGTAGTTCACTTAAGTTCGACCAACCCCAAGTTCGAGTTTGAGTTTTATGGGTGATTAACTGTCTAGTCGACCATGTGGAACGAGACCCTGGGGCATGGTCAAAACCACTGGTTATCAATAACCAATTTGATATGTCATAGGGAGGGAAGCTCAGGGAACTATATGGTCTCACATGAAAATTGTTTCAACTTGAATGAACATGAACGCCGCAAGAATTATAGCCAACGGTAAAATGTACGGATGAGATGTTTAAAAGACAAAAGAGAAAGAGGCAAATTTAACAGAGTGACATTATGTACCCGTAAGATATACCCTGCCAGCCACGGTTTTCTGTGTCTGCTGCTCCAAACAACGTACAGGCCTACGTTATTCGCCAAAATATGAGTCAAGGTGAGATGACCTTCCTTCAGTGGAGACAGGAAACAGTCCCTTGTTGACAGCAGTGTAACGGATAGCTCCATAGTGTGATAGGATTGTTGGCGTCCGACAAGTTGACCATCTTTCCGCCGGATGTTTTAGTTCGTTCTGAAATAGTGCAGCGAACCTTGAACCATGGTGACATCAGCCAAGGTTCGCAGAAATCAACCGTAATCACGTAATGTTCCATGAATTATTACTAGCATTGAATCGTATGTAAAGTTCAATACTTTGCATCCATTTCTGTCATTTGATAAAATTACAGAAGCAAGTAAAATGCATTGTAATGATTCGTTTGCTTGTTATTTTGTTTCCCTCACAGAAAATACAGCTTTTCTCCATTTGAAAAAATTACGTTTTAAGGATACAGGTTCGAGTGTGAGTTAGAAAGAATAGCATGTGGAATTCACCGAAAAACTTTAGAGAAGCAGTTCTACAAGATAAACTGTTGAACTGATTGTTTTATGCTTCCCGTTATATACAATATGCAAATTAGCCAGTCATTTCTCCCCAACAGTAGGTGAGATTTAACGAATGAAATGGAAAATGTATACACTTTAGTTCCAGTTGAACCGTTACGGCTTATACCGGTATGTCAAAATTAATTGGGGATGGAATCCACCCTGTAAATTATCTTGGATACCACAATGCGTATGCAGATACGACAGAAAGTTGCTGAAAAGTACCATTATTTATCTTCTTTTGATTGTATTTAAATTGTCCAAATGCCCTTTGTGTAACTACTGAAAAGAGTAATCATGAGGAGAGTCTTCTTTCAGAAATATCATCGATTACACATATTGCAACCAGGGAATGTCAGTCACTTTTTTCACCTTGACAAGGTTTTTTCAGGGAAGTAGGCCTACGCTGGTAAGTATTTCCTGCTTGGTTTCGGTGTTCTCTGTGTGCCTCGTTTGAACAGTGTTGCTCTAATGAGATTCATTTGTTCTGTAACGTTTACACTGCTTTCATGTATGACAACACTTTGATATCTACATTACGTTAATTGTATCGAAAAGTGTCCCTTTTCAAATATATGAAATTATCAATGTTTTCCTGGACAAATGAAGGAAACAATAGCTAGTGCATCGGATTTTCCTTTCAACTTGGGAACTTGAGAGAGGGTTGCATGCTTGCTGCTTGCCATCAACTCAAGTAGTTATGAATAACCAGATAGAAGAAAATTCCGGTCAGTCATAACTAGAAAAAAGTGTCTTGTGTACAAACCAAAGTTAAATTGTGGTTTTAGTCTTGGACGGACGTTACAGTTTTTCTCACAAATACGAAAAAACAAATGACTCCTCCAAAATGACTGGTCAAAAGAGTCAGTCGGAGTAGACCTGCTGAGACAGCGGCACGTAGGACTATATTGGGTTTTCTGTGAACCTGTACCCCCTTTTTACACAACAGGGTGTCTGCCCCGAGCTCCTCCCCAGCAAGTGCACGTGATAGGCATTCAGCTGTTCCCCCTCCGTGAATCAAAGGAATGCGTTTCAGTAAGACTTTTTTTCCGTAGGGATACACCTGAGTAGATATTTTGTGCTATCCCTCTGTCCCAAAAGCAGCCGGAAAGATGGCTTTCACTGCACAACCTCTATTGCGTTCTTTGTTCTCGGGAAGTCGGACGGTTGTAAAACTGTAGAAAATAAGGTGCCTGATATATTCGGTCATGAAGGAATCATAACAATTACGAACGAATTTAACTTCTCACCGGTCATACAACCACCTGCATGAACTTCTGTTTGTTCTTCTGTTTTCGAAAGACGGCTATTCGCTTAGTTTGACGGGTAACTGGGAATTACACAATTTGGAGTAAATTTCCTTTTCGAGTGATTTCTTTATGACACAACTGTTTCAATTCAACATTACGAGGTTTTTTTGCAGCAATTGCCTGATCCTGTATATTCAACTACTCGGGATTGCTGTTTAAGATGATACAGTATGTAAACACCATTGTGACAAGAATCATAGAGTTCTTGTATTCTATCGGTAACTTACCGGAAGTATGCATGATACAACGCGAAGTATCAAAGAGCAACCAGAAAGGCCTAGACTTTATTCAATTCCCAGTTTGTTAGTAAAGGGAGCTTCTACCCTGAAAATGTAGCTGACACGTTAACTTGTGCCTCTTTCCCGGGTTTGTTGCGCGAACTTAAACGGCAACTCAATCAGTAATTTCAAATTTTTTATCAACGCAACACTAACTGGACGTTTCCAAATCTCTCAGGTAATTTAACCTAGTAAGTTTTAACAGAAGAGATAAACATAATCACCGCGGTAGATGACAAATATAGAGAAAAAGATGATCGATGACTCGCGATGTCGTGTTGCTGGTAGCGACGTTTCGGCTGCTGGTGCTGCTAGCCTTCATCAGGCAACTGAAGTATGGATGCTGCAGAGTCCCCTATATACCGCTGGACCGCGTCCTCCGAGTGCCCCCCGCCGTATACTGCGGACCTCGTACGGGTGACCTCAGCGGTCGTCGCACGCTCCACTCCATGGGCGTGAAGGGACGTGTCCTCGGTGTGGCTCCGTTGTGCCCCGGTGCTGCAGTGAATGTGTTGACGGATGGTGGGGAGCCAGAACCCGGGGATGTCGATGCCGCTTCCCTGTTGATGCTGTGTCGGTTGAGGCAGATGTGGATGGCCTCCTTGATGCGTCTGGTGTACCAATGCTGGTCCTGGTCCACACACTGCACGGCTACTGCTGACGAATCCACACGGGAGAGTCTCACGTCGCACTGGTGCTCCTTGATTCTCTCGTCAACGGGTCTGCCAGTTTTGCCGACGTAAACCTTGTCGCAGTCACCGCACGGTATCCTGTAGACTACTCCGCGTCTTCGGGGTGGGATAGGATCCTTAAGCCGTACGAGTTGGCTCCTCAAGGTGGTAGACGATCGGAACACGGTGCAGACACCTTGGTCCTCCAGGATCCTCTTCAGCCGTCCGGAGATACCGTCCATGAAGGGAAGAACCGTGAAGGCCTTGTACTCCGGTCGCTCCGCTTCGGTGCTGGTCTTGGATCTTGATGACTGCCGGATGAAGGATGATGGATACCCGTTCGCCATGAGGGCAGCGGTGACTCGGTGTCTCTCGGCGGCTGTGCAGCGTGGTCTGGAGACTAGGCGTAAGGCGCGGTCGTGGAGGCAATTGGCCACACCCCTCTTGACGGACTCTGGGCGGGGTGAGTCAAAAGCCAGATACTGGTCGGTGTGAGTGGGCTTGCGGTACACGGTGCCAGTCAGGCTGCCGTCAGGTTCCCTGTGGACCATGGTGTCCAGGAATGCGATGCTGCTGTCCTGCTCGTTCTCGATGGTGAACCGAATGCTGGGCTTAAGGCTGTTCAGGTGGTTGAGCAGATGGCTGGCTATATCCCGTGGTGCAATGACGAAAGTGTCATCAACGTACCGCTTCCACACGGTAGGACGGCAGTCGGGTGGGCAACTCTGCAGGGCTTCCTCCTCGGACGCTTCCATGTAGAGATTGGCAATAACCGCTGACACCGGACTACCCATGGATGTTCCGTCTGTCTGCTCGTAGTACACTCCACCATACAGGAAATACGTGGAGCGCAGGACAACCTTTAGTAGGGAGACGATCTTGGTGGGGGAGAGCGATGGCCGGTCAGGCAACTCAGGGTCTTCCTCCAGGCGACGAAGGGCCACACAGCAAGCGTCGCCAATGGGGACGTTGGTAAACAACCACTTGACGTCGAAAGAGATCAACGCCTCGTGGCTGTCGATGTGCTGCCCGCGGAGGAACTCTGCGAAGGCTGTGGAGTTGGGCACGGTGTTCGGTGTGTTGCCGGTCAGCGGTGACAGGATCCCGGCTAGATGCTTGGAGAGGTTGTAGGCAAAGCAGCTCACGCACGAAACGATGGGTCTCAAGGGCGTCCCCGGCTTGTGGATCTTGGGTATACCGTACATCCTGGTGGGCTGCTTGCTGGTGGGGCGTAACTTCCGATACGTGGTGTCGTCAAGACCTTAGGTCTTGTTGAGGGTGAGCAGCTGGGCTGTGATCTTCCTGCAGAGCCGGTCGGTGGGGTCCTTCGTCAACTTCCGATGAGGGCCCGTGGAGATGAGCTCGCTCATCTTGTTCCGGTACGTGTTGGCGTCGAGGATCACGCTGGCACGGGCCTTGTTGGCGGGGAGGATCACGATGGAACAATCCTCCCGTACAGTCTTCAGGGCAATGCGTTGCTCCTGGTTGATGTTACCCCTTGGCGGGCGTGCTCTCCGTAAGGTGGCGTTGACTTCTCTGCGGACCAGATCAGCTGTTTCCGGGTCAAGCTTCTTCAACGCTGTCTCCACACTGGCCACGATCTCCGTAGCTGGTACGCGGCCAGGGGTGACGGCGAAGCTGAGGCCCTTCCCAAGAAGAGATGTCTCGACGGCGGTGAGGGTCCTCGCAGAGAGGTTGACGACCCACTTTGATGTATCCACGGTAGACCCGGTTGGGTGTTGGTTGGTGCGACGGGCCGAAGTCTCCTCGGCTAGGTCTTGGAACTTGGTGAGTTGGCGGGCCTTGAACTTCTCAAACTCTCGGCAGCAACGGCGATCGATGTGCTGGGTGATCCGGGTTCGGTCAGCTTCGTTGAAGGTGGACTGGATCTGGGCCAAAGTGGAGTCCACTTCGGCCTGGATGGTCTTCTTCGTGGCTCGGGTCAGGTGTATTCTCTCACGCAGAAAACGG